TAGTTTGACCCATAGTGTCTCTGCCCGACCCTCCTCTAACCCAAAGCTAATCCTTGATGATGTGAGGCGCTCTTTGACATAGAGCGCAACCCCCCCACCTTTCTTATCTGTCCTGTCTCTTCTATATAGGGTATACCCCCAAATGCCCACCGCCCAGTCGTAGGTAGGGTCCCACCAGGTTTCTGTGAGCCCTACTAAGTCTGGGTTCTTACTTGCAATCAGGAGGCATAGTTCTTCCTGCTTATGCCCCATACTACAAGCATTAGTGTAGAGGCACCTGAGGCCTCCTGAGGGTGCTCGTGCCTTCCTCCCGCTCCCAGGACAGTTGTGGCCCCCTGCTCCTCGGACGTTGATGCTTACCTGTGCTTCCCTTCCTCTTGTCACCCTGCATGCTGGTGACGCATCCTCTCCACTCGAAGCAGCCCCTTCCCCCAGCGAAGCTAGTTTAAAGCCCGCTATACGAGATCAGCCAACCTAGAGGAAAAGATACGTCTGCCATTAGGGGAGAGGTGAAACCCATCCCACCCCAGCATGCCCTCCTTACAAAAACATGGGTCGTTATCAAAAAACCCAAAGCCTGCCTCTTGGCACCAGCTCTGAAGCTGCCGGTTAACCACGTCAGTGCAGGCCTCATGACGCCTACCCCGTCCACTTACTGGGAAAATGGAGGAAAATACCACCTGAGCTCCTGTATTAGCCCCCCACTCATGACTGAAACCAGGTGTTCTTGTCACAAGTCCTGGGATCCTCCAAAAATTTATATGCAGATGACGTGCAAGGCAACCTAGTCCAGCTCTGCTTCATGAAGGGCAGAGCCATCATATGCAACATGCTGAGAGAGGAGTGACAGACTGTGGGTGAAATGTTTGGAGCCCTGTTTAATGTTTGCCAGACATTTAAGGCAGGTGAAGAAACAAAAATAGTGGAAATGGGGAAAGAAAGGTACAGCTCCACTTCCTCTGGGAGTGAAGAGGAAGTTGAAATGTATTCAATGTAGTGGCTCACCATGACTTGAAAAAGAGTTGGCACTGAGGAGGACTGTGCGCAATGGGTAATACCATATATCTTATTCAGCTATAGGTGCTGTATTAACCTGTTCTTGTGGTAGGTTCCCATCAGTATGTTTGCCTAATATGGGTCATGTGTTTTATAGTCAAGGTCAGTATTGGCTGCATTGAATCAAATTTTGTAGGTGGTTTTGGTTACTGAGCACATGCTGCTTTTGACAGCAATTTAATAATGGGCTGTGTACTTAATGAGGTTTCATCTTCTGTGAATGTAAGATGAGGGGATTTTTTTCCCCCTGTGCTAATTGGGTAAAAAAATCTTGTCTTGTATTTGAGTAAATATGGTATATTTCAGCAGCTAACAGTGCCAGAAATAACTTTTTAAATATGCTACTTGGGCAAGATGAGTTTCAAAGTTGACTTTTCATGCCACAGATGCAGATGTGATGATTCATGCCCATACTAGCATAATATCACTACAGCTGCAGGCTTGCTCATAGTTGCTGCTGATATGGCTACTGATTTTGCCTATGCAAATGCTTTTGCCTTACTTTTTCACTCCCATATTAACAGTAGCAGACTCCAAGGGAGTAATATCCTGTTTGTGAAGTTACCCAAGTGTACATTCAGCTTAGAGAGAGTCTGATTTTTTTCCAGTGGGGGGTGGGCTTCAGATGTACCCAGAAAATCTTATTACTTTTAGATTTTTTTGTCACTTTGCAAAAAATTCTTCAGAGTATCAATTTATGCATCTAGAAGGTTAATCATGTGGGCATTGTTTTCAAGGTTGTCATGCCTATACAAATATTTAAGTGTTATCAAATATTTTTGTTTGGTAATATGGGAACAGTGGCCATGTCTACGTGAGCAGCAGACTGCACAGTCACTTAGTATGTGCGTAAGCATCCCTACATGGTTTTTTTTCAGAGGCTACTGCACAGTAGCAGAGAGCTCGTTACTACTGCACAGTATTGTTGCATCACAGTTAGTGCCTGCTGACGCTACTGTGCAGTAGTGTCTCATGTAGACGCGCCCAGTAGCTACCAAAGACCCTTAAATTATAATAATATATACAATTTTATTGCTGGCACAGGTACTTTCTCTTTCCTTGCATTTGATCTGATCAGCTTAATAGATTCTGATCTTTTTCCACCAATGTAAAATTAGGGCAGTATATTCGATCTTCATTTTGAAAGGATCACATGTGGCAGAATATGAGAGTCCAGCACTTCTGGGATTCTATTTTTACAGACAATTTTAGAAGACAGAATTTTACAGCCAGCCAGACTGTCTAAAAAACTTAACTTGCCTTATAAAAACTTTTATTGGGGTTTCCTTGCCTGCAATTAGAGCCTGCATTCTTGACTCTGTTTAAAGTCTTAGTAATTCGTTTCCATTTAGCTCTCTCTTCTCTTTAGTCTAGAAGGCCAAGCATAAAAGGAAAAGTTTTGGAGTAGGCTTATTGTAGTGGAAGATTAAAGCAAGAAGACTTGTGTGCTCCTTTTACTCTTGTATATCAGTGCATTAATCAGGGACCCTTCTAAACTGCTGTCTGTCTTTTCAATGCTGTTAAGGTTTTTGTAGGAGCAGTTTTGAGGATCAGACAACTACCTTTTTTGTAGTGCAGTCTTCAAACACTTTGTGCTGTGCCTGAAAATTCTGTTTTCATTTTTTTTGTGATATCCTCTCCCACGCATTCCTCTCACATCATTGCCCTTTTTCAGCCCAAGAAAAAACCCAGAAAAATATTTAGAGCAATTATCTGCAAAGGTATTTCACTCCTGAGTCTCTGGCTTCTACCTCCCGAGAGAATAGAATCCTAGTTCAAGAGCTGCTGGATCCTCCGAAGTAGTGGAGGTTAGATGCAGATGCCCTTCCAGGTCCTCAATCTGTGACTACTTATTTTTTTCAGTCTTTTTTGTTTAATTTGAGTTAAACTTTTAGGTGCTTAAAAGTTTCACTTAGTGTTTGGTGCACTTGCCCAGCACTTTTTTCTTGCACTTTCTCCCACAGTCACTTGTCCACTTTGTTTGAAGATCCTCGATGTTGCAGCTGGTAAATCGAGCAAAACTCTGTCTTGCATCCATAGATGCTTCTCAAGTAAATCTCAGGATATCATCCTCTCGCTGTACTTGGCCTTGGTGAGGCTGCAGCTGGAGCCAGTTCTGGGCTCCACAGTTAAAAAAGGATGTGGAGAAGCTTGAGAGAGTCCAGAGGAGAGCCACGTGCATGATCAGAGGGCAAGAGAACGGGTCTTATGAAGAGAGGCTGAGAGCCATGGAACTCTTCAGCCTGGAAAAGCGCAGGCTCAGGGGTCACCTGGTGGCTGCCTATAAGTACTTAAGGGGTGTACATCAGGATATGGGGAAACGTCTGTTCACCAGAGCGCCCCAAGGGATGACAAGGTCAAATGGTCACAAACTCTTCCAAGACCATTTCAGGCTGGACGTAAGGAAGAACTTCTTTTCTGTCCAAGCCCCCAAGGCTTGGATCAGACTGCCTCCAGAGGTGGTGCAAGCACCTACTCTGGACTCCTTTAAGAGACATCTGAACATTTATCTTGCTGGGATTCTTTGACCCCAGCTGACTTCCTGCCCCTGGGGCGGGGGGCTGGACTTGATGATCTTCCAAGGTCCCTTCTAGCCCTAATGTCTATGAAATCTATGAAATCCTTGGATTAATGTGTGGAACACACTAAAGGCCTCAAGAAGGCCACCTAAGTATTTGCCCCAATAAAATCATTGGAAGGACCATATCTAAATGGTTCTCTAATTGTACATCTCTTTATTAGCTGAAAAGCCTGCACTTGAAAGGTCATATCACTACTTATAATATCAAGTGGTTTCTACTGAAATGGAAGAACACATTTTGTTTTTTTCTTAAGAGGGTTTCAGTTTATAACATGCAGAAGGCAAACACATGACTTTTCTTACATTTATAAAGCGCTATTGCTTAAATTCAGTCTCTGGGTGGCAGAATCTGTTTTGAAAAAGGAGCATTTAAGCAATCCTTCCCCCTTCAATTTTGTTTTCTTTTTGGAGTATCTCTTATTTGAGTTGGCCAGTTCTTGATAAGCTTTTACTTTTTTTAAGGTCATGTGGCTGAAGCTGCTTAGGCTTTCTATCCTTTGGAGGTATGGCTTTCTTCCTTTCATGCTGAAATCGCTTAGTTACTGTTGGTTTGTTTTTAACAATGTTTGTCTTTTATTTTGATTTTATTCTTTGAGACTTCACCCAGAACAAGCCTCCTGCATTGATTTAATCTTGAGAGAGAGAAATATTTCTTTGTAATTTATAATCTGGACCCACTCTACAGCCCAAGGGGACCAAATTCTGCTTCAGTATTCATTTATTCTGTATCGGGGCATCAAACATAAAGACTGTGGCCTGGATCCAGTCCATGGTGCTGCTTCATCTAGCCTGGTGGTCTACCCCTGGGGGATGGGGTGGCCTGTCACAGGATCTGGGGCTTCTAGACCTTGGTGGACAGGGCCATCAGTGGCAGGATGACAAGTGAGGGCTATGCTGACAGCCTTACTCTCCCTGTCCCATCACTGTTTGCCTTACTGATTCTGTCCCTACTGCACCCACCACTGTCCCTACTGGACCTGTTGCCACCATCCTGTGGCCTGGGCCAAATCTGGCCCGAAAAGTAACCTCCCTGTCTAGGTTCAGCCTTAGCTGATGGGATGAGTTTGACACCTTTGCGCTCTATGTCAATGAAATATTTGTTATACACATCTTAAACACCACTAAATATCCACACCTGTAGCTCTTAGTGGAAAATACTCATTTCTGCTAAAGACATCAACTAATTTTGCAATGATTATTGCAGCAATGGAATTTTTTGTTATGTTTTCCTACTGCCTGGTCTCATTTACCTCGGCTGTTGCAGTATCAACCAACCATTAGCAACAGAATGTCCTTCACTTGCTTTCTCCATACCTGGCCAGGATGGGGCAGCTTGTTGCTGTGTCGGGTGTTTATTTGCTTGGCTCTGTCTGCCTTTACTGCATTGTTCCACAGGCATGCTCATTATATATTTAAAGTTTCAAGGAAGAAGGGCTTGTTAAAATTCATCATCTAGTCTGATCACTCTCCACATAGAAGCAAGTCCACTGATCCCTACAATCCAGCCCAGCAACTTATTGAAGTAAAGCTGTGGTTTCTGATATTTCCTCAACTTCAGTCCCCCGCTACCTTCTCTTAACACCAGCTTTTCCGAAGAGTGCTGGCTCTCTGTCTCCAGAGAGTATACTTTGTAATTCATATAACTTCCCATTGGAACAAAAGCTACAGAGGATGCAGTTCCTCCAGGCAAGACCTAATAGGTATGGAGCTGGACACAATGCCATAGACCTGGCTACAGTAGAACGGCAAATTTTACAAAAAAATTGGAATTCTTTGATATCTTTGCACAATGCCATACCCTGTAACAGCAAAATTGGGCTGTTAAAAAGGCTTTCATTAAGCATAGGGCAGTTTATCTCTCTCTTGAGCATCAGGAGATGTTCCTTTAGCTGATGTGGTTTACATTCTTAAGGTTCTTCTACACAACAACATAAGAGCTAAAAAAAGTTGTTTTTTTAAGAGAACAGCTGAGATTCTGGATACCATTTTGTAGTAAGAAGTGAGTGATTTGGGGGGTAAATTCTGTCATGGGGAATGTGAGGTACCCAGCATATCATTTCCAGATGTCATTTTCTCTCCTTCCCCCCCTTTCTCTACACTTCTGCTTGTTCTTGGCTCAAAGTTGATGGATTTTTTTCAATTCTTTTTTCATTTTTTTATTTTATACTTTGTTGAACTATATCTGTTCCTTTTTTCCCATAGTAAAGTTATTTTTGCAGTTGGCTTGCTTTGGTGGAGTTCTTGCTTCCTTCAAACTGCTGGAACTACCTAGGAACTAAAGTAGTTGTAGGTTACCGTACAGATTAGGCCTCTAGAGTGGCTTTTGTAGGTCATGTTGCATATTATTCTGAGCTTTCACTACCTGATGGAGCCAAGCAGCTTTTGAGCTAGGAAATCACTGTCAGGAACGAGAGATGCTGTGAGACTAGTTCCTTAGTAGAGTTACTAGTTCTCGCTTTGACACCCCTGAGAATAAGTATTAGAGATTCTTGCTCTTGTCAGTGATGTCAGCATATACGTGCTGATTATTAATTTGATAATCATGGATTCTTTTCACTCCCACAGATTCCTTCAGTCTTTTTTTTTGGTGTTCAGTCATAACATGACTGGACATAGTACTTTATGTATAGAAAGTTTCAGAATTCCTAATTATATTGAATTCCTGTATTCATGTTTTCACCTTTTTACGTAATTCTTGCATCCCAATTCTTTTCTTTTTCTTTCTAGTGTTTAGCTCTCTTCAAAGAAACTAACAAAACTATTTTTAACTTAAGTGTTTGCAAAAATGCAATCTTTTTACAGGGACTTGTCTGCTAGCTCAGTACGTAGTAGTGGTTCTTACACGAGAAGAAAATGGGAAGATGATGTCAAGAAGAACACTTTGAATGAAGGCCCTACATCACAGAATGCAAGTTATCAAAGAAGGTATGGCAATCTTTGGGTAGAATTTTCTATAAGATAAGTACACGGGTTAACTTTGGCCTGAGGCACCACAATTACCGGTATGGTATATGGGCAGTTTTAAATTTAAATATTGTAGTTTCATCGCCTGTGATAACAAAGCTGATGCTACTGGTGAAGAAATATAAGTTAAAACAACTTTTCCAGGTGTGCATTGGGACTTTATTTTATTTATTAAAAGAATGAACATTACTTGTTTTATAGGCTTACTACTAATTTGTATAGACTTACAAATCTATTTGAGCTGGACAGTTTAAAATAGGAGTGATAGTAAATAACGTGTCTGAAATTTGTCTGAAATTTCCCAGTTTTGTTCAACAGCTGAAAGTGACTTTAACTATTGGAATGAAAAAAGCTTCAGCCTTTTGAGACCCAAGTGGAAAAAATGCCTGTCCCATTATTTGCCCTCTCTCCAAATGTTGACTTGGCAGTGCTTTTAAAATTAAGCATTGCTTCAGGCCTCATGGTGTGTAGTCTGTAGTCTGTGGGATTTTTTTCTCAGGATATGGCACTTAGTGATTTTCATATGACTAATGGATGATTCTGTTGGAAATATATGTACAGTACCCATTTCACAAAGATCTCAGAAGGGTCCAGATCCTGCAAACTTGGCAATTAGACTGTCAGAGGTCTTCTAGTCCAACCCCATGATTAATTTTACTCTGATCAGTTATTGATTTTGGTGGGACTATTCTTGCATGATTGTGAGTCTAGGTATTTGAATGTAATACAGCAGTGCTCATTCCCCAGCCAGATCTGGCCCCCAGTGCTGTGTCATCATGCCTGCACATCTGAAAACTTAGTGGCTGGAAGCAGTGCCTCTTCTGCCTGGCTGCCAAATTTCAGGACCCTTAGGGAGCCCTAGGTTCTGCATGCTAGACTGGGTGTCCGATCTTGGCATGCAAGGCTGGGCAGGAACAGCATAGGCTCAATCTGAGCACATGGGGGCTGGTGCAGGACCTGAATCTAATGTTTGGAGGCCAGCTGAGGCTCTGCAGGTGCCTGGCTGGGCGCATAGGGCTCAATCCAGCACACAGACTAGCCCTATTCTGCTCGTTTGGCTTGTGGGGCTAAAAGCTTGAGCACTGCTGATGTAATGTATAACTAAAAAGACTTAGCGGTACACTAAAAGACCTGAACATGCACATGGGGAAGTTTTTATGTGGATCACAGCCTTTTAATTCTTCTCTGTCACTGAATGAATGGTTCCACAATATGAAATAATTTGACTACGAGATTCGGAAGACATTTTTCATGTTTTCCTAAAAGCAAATTCCAAAAAAATTTAACTTTTTAAAATAACACCGAGCAATCCTTGATTTAAGACTTGTTATTCTTTTGGAGAAATGTTAGTTAAGGTTGCATGAACAATTTTCCATCTGTGGCCATCTGTTACTGTAGAAATCTTAATTTTCTGTTATTCTTGAAATGTAGTGCCATCAGCTTTTTCTATATCTTCCTCATATTTATAGTACTTTGAAATAGATCTTCATTCTTGATGATTTGTTCTTACTGCCAGAAGAGAACATTTTCCAAAGACTTACTTTCAAGGTGGCTGTAGACAGTGAGACCTGTGCTTAAAAATAGGACGTGGGCTCCTTTGTTATTTAGGTACTGTGAATATTTCGCCCATGGTCTAGTACAGGGGTCAGCAACATTTTTGGCCAGAATGCTATAAACATCCACAACTTTGACTTGTAAGATGTTGGCATGCCATGGGTGGATATTGAGGGAGCCATGAGAGGCCCAATCCTTGTTGTGGCAGCACAGCCCTGGCCCTCTCCCTGCTGTCTGCCCCGGAGGTGTGCGTGCCAAACAAAATACCTTTGCATGCCATGCTCTGGCACCCATGCTGGGGGTTGCCTACCTCTGGTCTAGTATCTTAACAACTACTCACTGGTTACATTCTTGTGTCTTGGGCATATATCTTTATCAATGTAGTACTTTATTTGTCTTAAGGCACCTAACAAATCTAATAAAATTTCAAATTTTGTGGAAATTTGGTTTTCAGTATAAAAGGCCCCTTCTGTATTACAGGTAGTCTTTGGTATGATTTTCTGTCTACTACTAGTGAGCAGATTTATTAACTTATGCAGGGCTTAACACATAGTCCTATAAGGCATTTTTTTCTGAGCTAAGACATGTCTTACAATATAATTTTGGACAGGATATAGCTAGTGAGGAAGCAGCATTCAGTGAACATGGGAAAGGAAAAAGGGTGACATTAAAATATTACTTAGGTACTTGGGCACATACAAACTTAAATTAATACTGTTGCTAGTTTAATTTTTTAAAGGCTGAGTTAATGATCCAGCAGAAAAGAGGATACAAGGAAGGGACAGAAATAAATGATGTTTTTTATTATTGGATCTCCTGATACAACATGATGCTATGCATATTTATTTAAAGTTGAAAACCTTTTTGTTTTATTACCCATTTTCTCTACTGATCTGGCTGTGGTGGGGATTGTGATGTTTTCCTGGAGCCTGGGTCTTACGTCACTTGAACATCCAAGAGAATTTTGTGTCCTCAGGGTCAACATAACTTTAAAGCAGTGTGATACTTGTGCCACTTCACAGCAGTCCCAAAACGTTCCTATTTTTTTTACATCTGGCTTGATCTAGCCTGGCTAGGATCTGAATATGCCAATTCCATAACAACTGGGAGCTCTCCCAAGCTAAGTGTATTTTAGTTAAGCAATTCTGGCTCCTTCTAGTTCCTTTGTATCATTTGGTTAACTTAAAGGGGCGGTAAAAACAACGGTAACTCCTGCATTGCTATGGTTTGAGAAATGGTATGTAAATTTCTGAATTTGGCATACATCAGCATACTTCTTGTCTTGTACAAGATTGTTCTTATAACAGGACGTTTTATGTGCCATTTTATAATTCTAGCAACAAGAACCCAGAATCCAGAGTAGTGATGGCAAATTGGCCATCATGTATGCAGTTGTTTTGCAGTTAGTAATGTGGTTAATGATCTGAGCAGTCTGTGCCATTGCTGGTGTTAAATACAGGCATAGAAATATGCATATGATCATAGCACTTCCAGTCCCATCATGCAGAATTGAAATTACAGAGCCGATTGATATAATGTAGATATCAATATGTTCTCTTCTCCATACTCTGAAGAGTGAAGATGGACGGGAAAGGTATTAGGGTAGCATAATAATTGGGATGGTATAGTTGGAGCTGGTTCTGCTTTAGGCGGGGGGTTGGACTAGATGACCACCTGAGGTCCCTCCAACCCAAATTTTGTATGATTCTATGATTCTGATCTTTCTGAGAGAAGAAAATCCAGAAAGCTTTGAAACAAGCACAACATATTTTAACTGTTGAAACAAAAGTAATTTAATATTGGCCCTGTCAATAAAAGCTGTACAGCAGCGTTCTGCATTTTCTGTAGTCTGTATCACTATGAAGAGCTATAGAGAGGGGTCACAGTGTGAAAATAAGGTGAATGGTGGTAAAATAGATGAGGTCTTTGGCCAGTACCATCCATCCACACATTGTGGTTAGTGATACCCGGTGGTTCCAGACCTTTCTGAGTAGGAGAATGAATATTCAGTATTAAAGGTTATCCAGGTTATAGCCGTATTGGTCTAGAAGAAAAAAGCAATCGGGGCTTATGGTAGAGGTGATATCTTTTATTAGACCAACCAGATGGTTGCAAAAAAAATTCTTTAATTGCAAGAACTGCCTGCCCAGAGGAGCTTTCCATCTGTTGAGTCCTCTGTGAAATCCTGTGAAATACGGACTTTCATTTCTACCCTGGAGCACTTTTACAATCTGTCCTCCGATGTCTAATGAACGGTGTTTGCTCCCAAAAGCTTGCAATTAAAGAATTTTTTTTTACAAAAATCTTGTCGGTCTATTAAAAGAGATCACCTCTACCATGAGCCCTGATTACAGTATTAAAGGTGACTTCCAGAGGACAGCACTGGAAGCAGAAATAGGGTCTCAGTCAAGGAAACTAAAGATGGAATTCTATTTTAATATGGCTGAAAGAGTTTGTGTTTTACTTGATCAGGAGAAGCACCACTGACAAGAAGGAACCATGAAGGTAATTTATACCATTATGGTCTTTTAATGAATAGTGAGATGCACATGACATATTATGTAATTCTCTCCTTCAGTGGCTCCTTTGGTAGAAGACAAGATGATTTGATTAGTTCTAGTGTTCCAACTACTACGGCAGCGCCAACAGTTACCTCTCCAGCTGGTCTTCAGAAACCCCTGCTTACCAGCGCAAACACTACTACAAAGACTACAACGGGTTCTACTTCAGTAAGCTTACAAAGCAGGTAAGGGCCTCAGCACACTTTTTTTTTTTTTTTGGTCAGACCTACTGTGTGCTTATGTATGTGCATGCGTTCTTGTTCAGTAGGTCATGGGGCTGTGGATTTTTTAATTTTCCCTTTTTTTTAATTTATACCATTTGGCTCAAAAGTATTGTGAATGGCTTTTGCTATGAAGTGGCAGATTTGCATGTCTAGCAAAGAAAGCATTCAAGACAGAAGGACAAAGAATATATATTTTTAAAACCCCACAAAGGTATAATATTATTTAATTTTAAATTTATTCAATCCGGTAGCTCTAGATGAGCTTTATACGTTACAGTGGAGACTCATCTCACGTATGTTTACCTTTACAAAAAAAAAAAAAAAATCCATTCCTCAAGTTGCATGTTGTTAGCTGTTTAGTAAAGTGCTTTATTTGTTTAGCTGTTTCCTTTTCTCTCTTTTGTGCTGCTGCTTATGATGCTATAGTACCTCAAATCGTTTGTGGGCTGAGGATAGTTCTGAGAAAGAAAAGGACAATGTTCCTACAGCAGTGACCGTTCCTGTTGCACCATCTGTTGTAAATGCTACAGCCACTTCCACAAGCGTGACTACGGCTACTTCTGGCACTGTATCCTCAACATCAGAGGTCAGGGAGAGACGGAGGTGTGTAAAGGTTTTGAGAGTACTGTTTTTCTTGTACAGAATTATCTTTTTATTTGTTAGAAGAGTGCAGTGGTTAACCATAAATCTGATGGGACTAGAAGAGAACCAGTAATTGTCTATTTATTAAATGTAGTGAAACTTGTTAACACACTTCAAATAATTAAGCTTCCAAAACCTACCTTGAGAGAAGCTTCCAAAGAATCCTACAAAAACTCTTGCAACAACAGACAACGTGGTAATTGTCTGAATTTTCTGTCTTGCTTATCGTGTTTGTGGTGTTTGCATTAAAATTTGAAACATGCTACTTGAAAACTTGTATTTGTATATTTAAATGAATTATGATTGCTATGAGAATTGGAAGTATGTTCTGATTATAAGTCAGATTTTTTTACATGTAGTGGAGTGGCTGATATGGACTTTAACTGGCATGATATGGGAATGGTTTCTTTCCTCCCTGCCCCTTAGAGTGGAGTCATATGAAGCATCACATGGCTCTCAAGCTATTTGGTTGCAGCCTTACTTGACACATGCATATTCTATAAGGGGATATGGTTATGGCAGGCAAAGCAGCTGTCATGGAACCTTCATAAGAATAGATAGCAGCCATTTGAAGTTAGTAAAAACGTTGGTACCTTCAAAGAGAACCTGTAATTAAAATAATTTGAGTTTTAAGCTGATTACTTTAAACATTAAAAGTCTGATATGGACTAAAAGGAAAACAAAATCCAGACTTAAGGCTATTATTCAGTCATTCACTCTCACTGACCTGTTTGGGTATTGCATGTATATTATTAAGAGTAAAGTATACATTAGTAGATCTCTGCAACTGGTCTGCATACCATGAATCTCTGTTGTCCCCCAGGTTGTAACATGCAAAGGTAGATGCATTATTGACAGCTTATATCAGTATACCATAAGAGACCTTGGAAATTATCTGAATTAATTGAACTGGAGTACGAATTGAGTTGGAGTAATGACTATATATGCATGAAAATTTGATGCACTGATGATCTGTTTTAAACTTTAAAAAAAGTATTTTCATGCATATTGCAATCCCCTTCCCCCCATAAGAACCTGACTTGGGGTGGCAGAATAGTCTGGAGCTGGCCTTTTTCATAGGAAGGCAGCGCTGCAAGATGGGACAAAAGGCCGGAGGGATGGAGTTCAAAGTGTTAGCCCTCTCATCCCTGCTCTTAAATTGGGCATAGCTTTTCAGCTGATCAGCCAACAACTGTTGCCAGTTTGTGAGTGGCTATGAATGAGTTAGTACTACACTCCATCACTCTTGCTTGCTGCATGAGAGAGACTCCAGTGCTACAAGAGACTCCCATCTTTAGCATTACCTTCCTATGCTTCTGTTCCAGTGAAGAAAAAACAGCTTCCTTGCTTAAAACATGGACCCCAATTTTGGAAGCAGCCTTTCCCCCCAAATCAGTGTGTGGTATGTGAGTAAATATGGTATATTGAGTACATGCACAGCATGCTATTCCTGTTTTTTTTAATATAAGTTAGTAGGTCCTCATTTAGCCTGCTTAAAAGAATTGGGTGGGGGCAGGGGGGGAAACGTGCTTTGGACCCAGCTTTCCCAACATCTGTATAGATCGGGTACTTTAGTGGATCTTTTCTGGCACTTTTATATAATAGCTGATTGAATCAACTTATGTAAATGGAAAAATGCCCTAACGAAGTGCCTGATCTATACAGATGCTGCAGAACCGGGTTGAAGTGACGCACTGTTGCTTCCGGTAGAGTGTATTTCCCCCCAAAGTCTGCCAGTGCTCTTATAGATCAAATGTCTGTAAATTTGTATTTGATAACCAAGTCCATTACAAGATATTAGAATGATTTTTAGTATACAGTACTATTTTGGGGAAAATTTTAGGAAGAGAAACTGGTTTGTTTGTTTGTTTGTTTTTGTTTAACCAGTTCTGAAAGCATACTAGTGGTATAGCAGCTTTTCAGTTCCAGTGTAATAATAGTAACAAACACCACTACAGGTTCAGCACATTCTACGTCTACGTGGGCTTGTATATACATTTGGTTTATACTGTTACAGCTCCCTGTGTGGACATTCCTACTCTGCTCTAAGAGTACTTTTTTTTAAGTTTAGTTAAACAAGCTTGTGACAAGCTAAAAGTACAGTTGGTCATGTATTCATAACAGTTACATGCAAAGAAAATATATAAACCAGTGATTGTATATTTGTTACTTTTAAAAGCTTGGTTTCAGAGCTGCAAACAATTATGGGAATACTAGGTGGTAGTTTTTACGTGATAGATGGATGGGCACTTTGTCCAGTTATTACTAGGATGTTACAGTTGAAAATATGCATCTTAAAAGTGACTTTAAATACATATTTAGTATTTCCAAACTGAAAAACAAGTCAACTTTGAGATGTATTAAACATTAACGTTTTTAGTGTTTCTAGTGTATTACTCAAAGGCAGAAGGCTCTTAAGAGAGCTGCTGATAAAACATAACAAACCATATTTCATTTTGTATCTGAGATCAAATGACGTGAAGTCTCCTGTTTTGAAAGGCAACTAACTTGGCCAGTTTTGTCATCCAGAATGGCTCCGTGCACTTCCTCAAAGGCTACATAGTGTGTAAATAAAACTACATTTCAAGACAAGAGTTTGGTTTTAGGCTCTTTCAACTTCCAGATAATGTAATGGTTCTAAAACGCATTTGATAATCTTAATTGACTGTTAATATTACTTAGGAAAACACTGGTAGCTCTGAAATCAAGTAGTTATTTTATCCTGTAACAGAAAATCATTTGTTTGGAGCGTGAATTAGCATTTACCACTATTATAGACAATTCAGTAAGGGCCAAAGCCAGTTCTTGTGACTGAGGCTTTCTGTAACTGAGACTCACAGAAGAACAGAGTGCAGGTTGTATGACTTTTGCCCACTTGGTCCTTGTGTCAGAACAGTGCTCTGATTGACGATGGGGAGACAATGGCTTCATGCAGTGGCCAGCAGCCTTTACAAGCCATGTGGTGGGATAATCCAGCTCTGGCCTGATGCAGGTCTAGTGGCTTCAGTCGCACAGCACCTGTGCTGCTGCTGCTTCTCTCCACCTCCCACTCCTCAGCTGTGGTGCAGCACAGCTGGTGGGGAACTGAGCTCAGGCCAGACAGTTGGAAGCTGTGTTCATGCTGCTGCTGTTTTCCTCTCCCACTTTGCTTCTGGTTGTGTAGTAGTGCAGCTGAAAGCTGCCCAGTCCTGGTGCAGCTCTTTACTAGCTGGAAGTGGGAGGAGGGGAGAAGTGGTAGTGGTGGGTGCAAGCTTCTAGCTGCCCAGCCCTTGCATAGGCTCTGCAGGCTGGACCAAGTGGCTCTGGGTTAGATCCAGTTTGTAAGCTGTATGTTGTCAACCCCTGGTGTAGTGCCATTTTCTACTTGTTTCCTCTGCTAAGGATCTAGAACAGTCCTCAAAGTGGTGGTCCACGGACTGGTGCCGGTCCGCGAGCCACCGGTCGCCGGTCTGCAGCGACTTGCCAGGAAAGAGAGAAAAATATTTTCAGAAGCATAACATTGATATGTCATAGCGCCACAGTTTGTACATTCCAACACTCCAGGTGATGTCACGTCGTGTGAGGTGAAGAAAGAGAAAGAGCCAGTTGCGCATTTGTGTAGCGCTGTTACACGCAGTTGCTGCCACTGGCTGAACCAGGCACTGGTCCCTGGCCCACTGGAAAAAAAATTGCTGGTTCACCACATCAGATAGTTTGAGAAGCACTGGTCTAGAGGTCTTATTCAGCCATCTATCACGGTAGCCTTGAAGGCTGAACTAATTTTTGTAGTAAGCTCTGAACAGACTCTGAACTATTCTGTCAGTCCAGAATAGCAGGGTGACAAGAATGTCCCTAGAAAGTCATCTGCACTTAGGGTGTACTGGTAAATGTGGCACAGGATCTGGTAAACATGGCACAGTTACACTTGGAGAGAGGACTTCCCTGCATTGCAGAGACCCTTTTGGGGGTCATTTGGTAGCTTTAAAACTTTTATATGATCAGAGATGGTATAAGTGAAAAAGGATGTATGTATATAGGTTCCTTTGTCTTCAGGATTCCCTACATGCTTGTTACTGTGGGTTGTGCGAATAGGGAAGTATTCGTTTCGGCCAATTCAGAGTACAGTAATTCGATTTGGAGATTTGGATCACTGTCCCGAATCAAATCAGCTGAATCGGCTTCAGAAGATTCGGCACTGATTTGGATCAGCTGGGGTGAGGCAGGCACGGTGGCTGGCTGCAGGTTCCCCCACGGCTCCTCTGGCTGTGCCTGCTTCTCCCTGGGCAGGGGGAACTGCGGCAGAAGCCCCCATGGCTGCCCTGCCTGGCCCCATCCCCCACCCAGCTCCATGGCGGCCTTTCCCAGCCCCAGCCTCCGGGCACTTCAAAAAAAGAAAAAGAAAAAACCCCCACAGTCACCAGCTGCAGCAGCAGCGACTGGGGCCTCTGGGCACTCAGGCATAGCCCCCCCATGCAGCTTCCAGACACCGTGTGGCACATTGCACTGCTGCCACAGGAAAGTGTGGGGCTTTTAAAAAACATTTTTTGAAGTGTTGGGAGACTTGGCCAGGTGGGGGATGGGGCCAGGCAGAGCAGCCAT